TATTAACTTTTGTATCGAGCATATAATCATCTATGAAATTAATTTTTATTATTAATAAAAATAAGCTTAATTGATATAATAGAACTATTTCGAATATTAGGAGTATAATGATTAATAAACTAGAAATTAACAATATATTGCAAAAGATCAAGACTCAAAACAATTATTCTTTCTTAAAAATTCAGAAATGTACATCTATAAGAAACTGTATAATAAACAAGGTCATTTTTAGCTCTTTTACTACTAAAACAAATAGACATTCAACTTTTTCAATAGTTAAAAAAATAAAATTTGAAAAATAGAATGGGAACTTTATGTAGCTTGAAACCAGCTGCTTTCAATGAGATAAGACATTTGCTCTTATCATTTTATCATAAAAAAAAAACTAAATGAATTTAGAAAAATAACTATAAACCAACACAAAAGAAATTTTAAAATTTTCTCTATCAATACAAGACTTTTAAATTATAATTACACTTATTACAAGCTGGATGATATTAGAATAACGATCTTATTTCAATGAACAAGTTTCACTATTTGTTCCTGATAATAAACTCATGGCTTACTTCGATAAATATCTAATTGAATAGGTTGTCGTCTTGTACAAGTACGATGAATATTCCAAAGACGTTGAACAAAATCATCGAATGGAATAACTGGTGATAGTGCTTTTTCAAGAAGTTCATCATCAAGAGATACACGATTATACAGACGATTATAAGCTGTTTGAATTGACCAAATAAATTTAAAATGTGAATAAGAATAAGGACTTGGAAATAGAGAAAATGGAACAATAGTTGCTTGATCTAAATTATCAGGAACAAGACAAAGAAGACCATGAGTAATAGCATAACGTTTTGCAAAAGTTACGATATCTTCAATAGACCATCGTAAATGCATTGGTTCATTTTCTTCTTTTTTTATTGACATATTTTCTATGAAAATCTTAGAAAATTAATTTTTATATGCTTGATCATCTATTACTGAGCATGAATGATTCGTTTAAAATATAATCCATTCAATAAGCAATTTGAATTTTTCGAACAGTTATTAGTTTTAATTTAATAATATATAATATAAATTTAGTTTAATATTCATAATTATCAGATTTATCTAAGCAAAAAAAATAATTGCGTTCGACAGATGGCGATCAAATACAAAATATAAAATATCCGTTTTTCTATCACATCTATATTATTATTATTGATATTGATATTCGTCAACAATGATATGAACGCAGATCTTCGAAAGACTTTCTTTTTTAATATACAAGCAATGTTCGTATGAAAAACAATCAATTGCAATTGATATAGTAAAGAGTGACATCTGTTTCAATATATCGAAGAAAAAAAATCAAAAATATTAAAATTTTTTGAATATGTTTAAGAAAATTCTAATTATTTTTATATGATTCAAAATGATATATGAATATATTATAGTTTGTATTGAAGTTTTTTGTTCACATTCAGTACCGCTAACAAGTTCTTTGTTGTAATATCATTAAAATTTATTTCTTTTTATCGAGAAGAACACACTACAATCATCTATGTCTGATAAAACAAATGACGAACAGCATGATGTAAGCTATATGAATAATATTTAATCGATATTTTTATTAATATAATTTTAGATTTATGCCGAAATTGAAAATGTTAAAGTTCCATTTGATGTAGCTCAATGTGATGGTGATTTAATGTATACTTATTTACCAAATTGGATTAATAGTCTTACTGATGAACAAATACGAGCTCCACCAATGTCAGCTAATGTATTTCAACAATATATTCGTCAGTCTCATCTTGAAGCTACAATGGCTAATAGTGTTCGAAAAATGGCTTTAAAGTAAATTTTCAATAGATATAATTAAGTACAAAAAAACATAATAAAAAAATTCTTCAAAAAATAAAATCGTGAATCGCTTATAGAGACTTTACATACATTAAAGATGAAAATCTACATTTTAACTTGTTATTAGTGCAAAATAAGATATTCATTTAATTATTTTTCAGATTTGTTATCATAAAAACTATGAAGAGTCTATGAGTTCGAATACTTTTGAAATTTTATTCTATAAGAATCATATCTACTTCAAAATTACTAATCTTGGCTCGAAAATCACGACAAAACACATCGATATTCTTTTTTAACCTATTGACAGATACCGATATATATCTACAACCATCTCGCGAGTTTTATTATCTATTTTAATAAGTTTTTTCTACCTTATCATCTATAAGAGAGAAAAAATTTCATAGGATTGCAAATTCTAAATCATCTCACTATGTAATATACTTCTTACAATAAATGTACTTTTGCTTTATATACTCAAAAAAATATAAGTTCAAAAACGATAAATTACTTAGGACGATTTCTTTCTTATTAGAGTCAAAATAACATATTATATTCTGTTTAGTGAAGATCGTCTATTTACAATTGATGATTTTGAATTTGGTCGACCACTTGGTAAAGGTGCATTTGGTATTGTATATTTAGCACGACTTAAAAAAACGAAATTTATTTGTGCATTAAAAGTAAAAATTCTTTTTTTGTTTTATTAATGATTATTTTATTAAAAAAAAAATGAATAAATTTAGATGCTTCATAAAAGTAAAATCAATGAATATTCAATGGCTGAACAAGTTAAAATTGAAACTGAATCTGGTTTTAAACTTAATCATCCACTTATTTTAACAATGTATGATGTATTTCATGATGAAAAACGTTTTTATTTTATGCTTGAATATGCACCACATGGACAACTTTATCGATTTTTACAAAAAGTTCGCCGTTTTAGTGATCGTTTAGCAGCTAGTGTAAATAATTTCTCTTTTTTTTTTGTTTTATTATTAAAATTTTTCTTCTAGTATATCTATCAAATTTGTCATGCACTTGAATATTGTCATAGTAAAAGTATTATTCATCGTGATTTAAAACCAGAAAATAGTAAATATATATATATATAAATTCAATCTAAAAAGAATATCAAATTGTTTATTTTTTTTTTAATATTTTAGTTCTTGTAGATTGTTGTGGAAATTTAAAATTAGCTGATTTTGGTTGGTCAACTAAAATTCGTCATGCTGATACAATGTAATTTAAATGTTTTTTTTTTTGAATCGAAAAAAAAAATTTCTTTTTTTTTTGAATTTTAATAGGAATACAACAGCTTGTGGTACACTTGATTATTTAGCACCGGAAATTGTTGGACATAAACAATATCAATATCAAGTTGATAATTGGTGTGTTGGTGTTCTTGCATTTGAACTTTTAGCTGGTCGTGCACCATTTGAAGGTACTGATGATGAAACAAAATCAAAAATTGCTAATATTAATTATAAATTTCCGGATTATTTTTCTCAACCTGCTCGACGATTTATTGATAATGTAAGAAAATTATAAAGATTAATCAATGTTTTTTTTGCTATTTTTTTGTTTTTAGCTTTTACAAAAAGATCCGAAAAAACGTATGTCACTTCTTGATTGTATTGCTCATCCATGGTTACAAAAGAATGCTTATAAATATATGTTTGGCCCTTATAAATGTCCGATTTATGTTAACATGGATGAATAATATTATATATCGATACTTTTTCTTGTCTCAGTGAAATATCTCTTTAATAAAAATAAATGGATAAATTCTATAGTTGAAAAAAAAAAACGAATGAATTTCTTTATATGATATACATGATAATGAATACAAAAGTTCTTGAGAATATTTCATTTTATTTTTCATCAAGTAAAACATATTGTGTAAAAATTTTTGATAGTCCATTTTATAAAAATTCATCTATGATGAAACATATAACGAAGTAACTGAGAATATATCGAGAAGAAAATGAACTGTCAAGATATTGAACATATATATTATCATGATGAGAAAAGCATTCATGTATATATTCACAATTATGACATTTGGCATCAATATTGCCTTCTATTCTAATGCCATCAGCAACAAGCAAACGTATACATGATGAAAATGATTGGATTTGTAAAAGACGAAGGACATCCTGATTCATTTTTTCGGTTGTAGATTTTGAGATAATCTATTTTTCTTATTTGCTGTTTATGGAAGAGCCTAAATAATATATTTCTTTTTCTATAAAATAAAAGTTTGAAAACTATACAATGGCTGTAAAAGTATCTGCTAAATGTCAATTACCTTCGATTTGAGTTCGATTATGAAAACTTATATCCATGAACTGTTCTATTTTATTATATGTATTATCATAAAGAAGTCACAACACATGAAAATTAATCTTATTTTAAAAGATGCTATTGTTTGCCAATAGTAATTTAATTAATGATTCTTATTCATGTTATTATAAAAGAAATAGACATTGATTTACAAACAAAATGTTCTCTAGAGATGATGTTGAATATGTCGATTATTAGTTAAGATGATCAAAAAAAAAACAAGAAATATACTTATGCAAACCTGATGAGACAACTTATGAACGCTAATTCTTTGTCAAGAAATATAAAAGAAGAGAATTATATGAAAAAAATTTTCATTGAATACAAACATCGAGAATAGCACATCTAAAATTGATCAATAAAATGCTTGATAGAGATGAAAAATGTTACATCTTTGAATAGATCTGTTGTTATCTGTGTGAAATATTTAAATATGAAAAGTTAATGTGATAATTCAAAAATATTAAGAAATTGATTTCTTCTGTCACAACTATTTCAAATTGGTTTTTGCAAAACAAATTTTAGTACCGTTCAATTAGAACATTACGATAGATTCGACTAAGTGTCTCACTAATAAATCAGATTTAACACAAGAGGTTTTTCTAAGTGGTAAATTTTATTCTTTGATATTCACATAAAAACTGATATGTTTTTCGGAATTCAATTGGTGTCTCTTCTAAACCTACAACTATGATAAAAAAGGTTGAAGTTAACCTTGATTTCGAATTTTTTAAAGTTCTAAGAAGATGTGAATTAAACATTCAAAATACGTCAGTTTGTACAATGAATATATAAAATAAAACTGTTACGTTTTTTTTTTTTATTCGAAACATTTTCAATCCATTTGAAAAACTAAAGATATGATTTGTTTTCTTTATACTAAAAATGCAAAATGATACACTCTCTATTTCTATGACAAACTTTAATTATACATCCTATAGATATACTCGATTTCGAAAACGATAAGAACATCATCACTTCTCTTGTAAAACCAAAAAAGAAAAAAAAAATAGATTAAAGTATTCTCGTTTCACACAGTTGATTACTTAACGATAATATCCTTCTATTATAACAATATTGTTTTCAGTGTATATAAAATTTGTTTAAGATTATATCAATCAGGTAAAAGTACTTATACACTTGTGACATTCATCTGTTGCCCTGCATCACCTGCATGCTATCTAAAGAGCTAAAACATAACAGTTAACTGGCTATTGTCGACATTATTTAATAGTCACATTTTCAACATATACAAAGAAAAGAAAAATTTTACTACAATGCTTTTAAGCAAGGCTAAATAATTATAGCGGCATATTATAAAAGAAAAAAAAAGCTTTTAGCTTTTCATTGAATGATATCTATCATTCATTATGATTGAATCGAGGATAGAAAGAATTATACATGTACACACATAACTATATCCTATCCAGATGTCTTGTTAATTTTACAATAGAATTGAACAAACAAGCATATATATTCGATTAGAATAGAACAGGTGGTGAAAAACAATTAGATTTCTATATTCCTTTTGGATATAAATATGTTATTATTGCATCATATTCATTCGGTATGCATTCATATCAATAATAAGATGTCTCTAAGATGCCATAAGTGGACCCATTGGTAAAACGTAAGAATTCAACCATTAGACCTTGTGCTTCTATATTTGATACAATGACACTTTTAGTATTCATTCGTTCTAATAGAGTAAAAGAAAAACATTTCTTTTCTTTTTTTTTTATTTTTATGGTACATACAAATGTTCAAATAGATTATCGCCAGGCGTCTCGTCTTATTTTTCAACTGACACATTCTTTAGTTGAGAGGCGGTCACAAGATCGATGTTGTTTATAAAGAGTGAATGTGTGTTGTACGTGCATATAGAGGTATTAATTCATTTATTCATTAGCTTAGACAGAACTTGAAGTATATTATATATGAGTAACAATTATAGCTGTTTTGTTTTTTTTTGTTCTGATGATGAACACCATTGCTTGTCATCGAAATCATTATAGTTGTCAGATATGAACAGATATCTTTGTATTGCTTTAAAATAAATCTAGAATAGATTTGATATCATAGTAAAACTATATCATATACTGATGAAATTGTCTTATGTCATAAATGAATTTGATTCACTTTTCTAAATTAGTTATAACCGTGTAATATGACTTCTCTAGTCTTTTTTCTTTGTACACAAGCGAGAAAGAGAGAGAAGAAGATTAAGAAAGAAGGAGGAGCGAATGTTTTTTTTTTTTTCGGGAATAAGACGTATGTTCTCTCCTTTTCTCATTCTCTCTTCTTCAATTGTTCAACATACGCACAACTTCACATACATATACATATATTCTCGTTTCAGTAGCGTAGCATATGTCAATTTGTTAATCAGTAAGTAAGAAAAGAAAAAAAAAAATCAACAATTTTTCTTTTTTTTCAAATTTTTTTTTTCTCATCGTCTCGACATACTCTTATAATCGATATCTTTTATAAAAACTTAGTGATATGCCGCCATAATCATACTTGACAAATTTCATGAGAGTATAATCATCATGACCATTCAATATCTTCTATTTATCATTACTATTACCGGTAAGTATATTCTTATATATATATATATTGATATATGTGTATCTGTGGCATTTTCATCGTTCATTAAGATAAAAGTTAATGTAAACAAAAAAGAAGATACATTTTTTCTGTTTTTTATGCATGCGTTTCTTGTTAAGTCAAGGTATGCATAGCTAATTTAATAATAATATTTGTATATTCAGAAAGAAATAGAGATCATTCTATTATTGTTTTTTGCCGAAGGACAAATATATTAAAAAGAATGTTAAAATAACAGAACAATATTATACTAATTAATTTTAAGGTATTGGTAGTACATCGAATATTCGAAATATTAATGGAGAAATCGATTCAACTGTTTCATTTCAATGTATAATTGATGCATTACCTTTTAATACTGTTGTATGTTATCTTGTCCTTCATTTTTCTTTTTTTTTTGTTTTTTTTAAATTATAAATTATTACCTTAGATAACTTGGGTTTATCGACCAAAAATACATAAAATTAATGGTATAAAATGGTTACCATTATATGCTAATGCACGTCGTTTAACACAAAATACTCAACGTTTTATAGTTGATTATAGTGGTTATAATGAATATACAAAAAAATATTCATCTATATTAACAATTCATCAATTGAAATCATCTGATGAAGGTATATATATGTGTAAATCAAATCAATATCAATCGATACCTTCTCTTTTTAATTTAACAATATCTCGTAAGAAATTATTTATTTATTTTTTTTTGTTTGTAAATAAAAACTTTTCTTTTTTTTAGCATCAATGAAGATATTACCAAAGGATGGTATTATTGAATTAAATCATATTCAACGATCAATTAATTTATCATGTACAGTACGTGAATTATCAATGCATACAATTGATCCATTACGTATTAAATGGTATCATAATAATCATGAAATACCAAATTCACATTTAATTGAAAATTTATCATTACATACAAATCAAGCAACACTTATTTTAGATATTCATCATTTATCATTGAATGATTCAGGATTATTTAAATGTGTCTATGATAATGGAAAAGCAAGTAAAGATGTTCGAATTTTCTATACATCATCGGGTAAATAAGAGAAAAAGATTCTCTTATCTTATTTTATGGATAAGAGTACTTTACTTGTCTGTCTGCTTCTTGTTTAATACAAGAGGATTATGAGGAAAGTGACAACGTACCATATGTGTTTACATGGGATAATAAAGAGATGTGTATATGGATGAGTGTGTGGGTGTGGTTTTTTTTTATATGAAGACTAGTGACCATGATTTTCATTAATGTTATTTATTTTTAGTGGTTGGTTATTCAAAATCAATGGGAAGAAGAATTATGTTTTCATGGTTTTCGTTATTTTATTATTTTTATTATATAATGAATAATTATGATGATTGTATTTTTTTTAAATGATGAATGCATGTGTGTGTGTGTGTGTGCTATACAGTGTTTGTTATCTTGTTCTGTTCATTGATTTTAAATTACCAATGAAAATGACAGTAAAGATTTAATCATTACTTATTCAAAGCATTCTCTCATGAGACAATGTTAAGATCATTTTTTTTTCTTTTTTTTGCTCATATGGATTTATTTCTATCAACGTCGATTGACCTTCGAGATTTATTATTCGATTATAATCGTATAAAAAAAAACACACACATAAGAGTGAAATTGTTTATTACATCATCCTTTTTTCTATTGCATTGATCATTTCGAGATAGAGACAACGAATGGATTAATAGTAACACTATCACTAGCAATTGATATAGTTCTTCTCCAAATGAATTTATTATATT